ACCGCGGGGCCGGGAGGACGTGCAAGAAATGTCCGACCAACGTCCCTACGCTCCGCTCTTCGTGCCCGGCTCGGAATCGCTGCTGGCTTCCTCCGCCTCTTTCCCGACAGCGGGCTGGGGAATGGGGGCTGCTGTCTGTGCTGCTCCTTCCTCAAGAGGAGGATGCCTCACACTCCGCCCCTGCTCCAGCGTGGGGTTCCTCCCACGTGAGAAGTCCTCCTTCTCCAAGGAGCTCTTCAGGCACTGCCCTAGCGTGGGTCCCTTCCACAGGGTCAGGAATAGGCAGCTCCAGCGCGGGCTCCTCTCTCCCCATTTCCTGCCAGGACCCTGCTCCAGCACAGGCTCCCTGTGGGGCCACAGCCTCCTTCGGGCATGCCTCTGCTGTAGGGTGGGCTCCTCCATGGGCTGCCGGTGAACCTTTGCTTCCCTACAGCCCCCTGCTACCAAAGCGGTGCCACACAAAGCCAATACAGAGGGGAAACATGGGATGTAAACGCAGGAAGGTGGAGGATGGGGGAAATCTGGCTGGGGGGAAATCGGCTGCTGGTTGTCCTGGGTTTTTATACTTGAAGTGGAGCACTGGGCTCAGAACCCAACAGGCACACCACTTCTGCTGTCACCCCTGTTCCACAGTGGATCCCATTGCCACCTGTGGATTGACAGCACTGGAATTTTGAACCAAAACCTGCTGCCGCCCTCAGAGGACATTTCCCATCACATCCTACCTTGCCGTTGCCCTGGGCTTCCCTCCAGGCAGCTGTACTCCTTTGGAGCCTTCACACACAGCGACAGCTCCCTCCCTGCTCTCAGCTTGTCCATCCTCTGCCTCTGGGACAGACCCAACACCGGAGGCAGGAGAGTCAGACATGGTGATCCTGGTGTCCACTGCAGGATTTTGCTGTGGATACCGCACAGAGAACAATCCTCTGTCCCAGCATCTCCTGGGTGTCTGTGTCACCTCCAGCCCTGCCCTCCCTCATGGCCAGGATCCGTGGGGACAGCACAGGCCAAGCCCATGCTCTGAAGTCTGGGAACGGAGTGTCCGGGATGTTTGTGTCTCTGGTTGCAACCTTTGCTATCTTCAGAGAACTTTTGGGAGGAGGGGAAAGATCTTCAGCACACCAGATGTAATTAGTCTTTGTAATTATTAACCCCCAAGGCTTGGCCAGCAGCAACAGAGGGTCCTTGGATTAGAAAGGTAGAAGTGCTTCCAGGAACCAACAAAGGCAGGGAGGATGAGAACTGATAGTGCTGACAGGAAGCTTTGAGAGGGACGTGCTGAATCCCAGCCACTTGAAAAAGTAACTTGTCATAAGGGGGAGAGTAGCATGCGCTCCCTTCTTCTTCCCAGAAGAGAAGCAGGCAAGGAAAAAGGGGAAAGTGGAAATAAAAGGAAGGGAAATGACAGGGAAGGAAAGGGGAAGAAAAAGAAAAAGCCAGACAGATGCTGGGAAGGGAAGGAAGAACAGGCATTATCTTTGAGTTTGGAAAGCAAAATCTGACTTGCTGACACCCCTTACCCAGCAAACTCAAACCAGATGGTATTGCCATGGAAAGGAGAACAAATGGCCTGAAACTCCAGGCTCCATCAAGCCCCTCCTGGCTGGCTCCTTGGCTGTGCCACATGTTTGCTCAGCTGGCTGCAAGGGCTGCAGCAAGGCTCCTCTGGGGTCTCTGATTTCCAGCACCAGCATGTTTGATCCTTCCTTTGGCACCTAATCCCCACCACAATTCCTAAGGCAAGAGACAAGGGACCTCACTAAAGACCCTTCCCTCATTTTCATACTATATGCACTGAACTGTGCAACATCAGAGGCAAAGTGAGAGATTTGTCACCTCGCAAGCCCCTAAAAGCAAAACGCAAAGGGTCAGATGGAACTTGGCACAGGCACCCTCAGCTCTCAGGGCAGCAAGAATTAGTGAGGAATTCTGCAGCATGAGGGGAACAAGCCTGGGGGTCCTCACAGAAGCACTGCAGGGTCACTGCATCCTCTTCAAACATTTCTGGCCAGTCAAACCTCTGAGTAAATCCTGTCCATGAAAAACAGCATCTCCCTAGACACTTCCCAGTTCATTTTTTAAAAAAATTACATCACATTTCAAGGAAGAATGTAGTTTGCAGAGACACCTCTGATGCCAGCTGCCTCTGTGTCTATCCCAGCACTGAAACTGGAGAAGGAAAAGGGATTTCACCAAACTTTGGGACCCGCTGTCCCTAAAAGCACCCACTGTTCTCTGGGAGAGAGCAAGGAGGGCACTGTGCCTTTCCCAGCCAGCTGCTGCTAACTCAGCACTGAGAGAGGCCCTTTGGCATTCCCAAAGCAGGGATTCAACTCCCAGCACAGCAATTCAATCTCTACATCTTTAGCATGGAGAAAACGAGGATGATTCCAGGGCTCTGAGGCTGAGGATGGATGTCAGCACCTCTTTGCCTCCTGCTCTGCTGAGCAAGGCAGGCTTTCAGACAATGCTCCTTCTCAGGGTCAAGGCCACAGGAGATGTGGAAAGAGATCCAAGCAGCTCTGCCACGCTGGTAGCCCCTCAGTTATTTACTTTAATATTAAATTCCACACATATTTCCTACTGTCCCAAGGGCAGCTGTGGAGCACATGAGCTGCCAGCAGAGCTGCTCTCAGAGGAGGGCAGCAGAGGCCCCCAGATGCCAGCACATCCCTCCACAAACAGCAGGACACTCAGGGGGTTGTTGTTCCACGTCCCCAGGAGCAGCCAAACTGCTCCCAACAGCTGCAGCAAATGTCTCCCCTGAAGCATTTTGGTCCCCCTGCTGTGTGTGGGGATGAGGGTTCAGGCACTAAGACCCTCGAGATCTATCTCAGCCTGCCTGTTCAGCAATTCCAGCCCTGGAAGTGGATGGACCACATTCCCTCCAGAGAGGGTCCCCCTGCTCTCATGTCCCTTCACAGAGCACTGATCCCACGTTTTAAACCATGCTCTCCCTGCCACTGGCAGCAATTCCCAGACTGCACCAGAAATCCCACATCAGGCACATGCCAGGCAGCACCTGCTCCAGAGGAGCAGTGAAACAACTCACTCCCCTTGTCAAGGATCAGACACAGGAAAGACAAAACTAGAGCTGGGACAAACTGATTCCAACTACTGATGTTAAGTAAGTATCAAAGACAAAGCACAGGAGAAAGTTGGTTATTACAGGAGCCTGAGTCTCCAGATGCTCTTACCTGCAAGGATCAGAGCTGTGCTCCCTCTCCAGTGTCCCACAGCTGCCTAAACGATGGAAGACCAGTTAATTAAGAAAAGATTTTGATTCAGAGTCTCATGGAAGAGGAATGTCATTAAGACCTGAGCAGAAGCACTGAGGAGGTGGTAGAAGGGAAGGACAGTCACAAATGGGAAGGAGCAGAAAAGGGACTAAGAACCCTGGGAAGAAAGAGGGAAGGAGTTCCCTGTCTTAGTGGAAGTTTGAGGGCAAGGCAAGGACCAATGTTTCCCAGGATGTCATGCAAGGAAGCACAGTGACAGCTCTCAAGCACTGCTGGAAAAGCAACAGCAAAAGAAAGCAAACACATGGAAAGAGTCTCAGAAAACCAGTGGCAGAGTGGAAATCCCCATCATCCAAACCACAGCCAGAAGAGGTGGCAGACTCATCCAGGAACAGTGAGGGACGATATGGAAACATCCTGTGAGAGCCAGGCAGAGCATGGTCCAGGTGTTTCACTGACGTAGGGAAGAGAGGGCAGCCCCCAAGTGCACCATGTTTTACAGCCTTGGTGGAAAATTCCAGCCCTGCATAATCTCCTGGGGTTCCTGTAAGATTGTGACACGGAGAGAGGGACCAAACAGGAAAGAATTAGAGGAAAAATGCCTCTCTTCTGGCAGCCACCATGGCTGTGCCAGGAGTTAGCAGCAGCGGAGCAGCCAGCCCTGCCTCCCCCTCCTCCGGCCGCCTCTATAAACACGCAGGGCTTACTCAGAAGATTAGGAGGGAACAGGGCAAAAGACAACAGAGTCTCTTTTGTAATGAGGAGGGATTACGGCATCAAGTGACCGGCTGCAGCTCCCAAGTGGGTCTCAGGCTCCTTAGCACACCGTGTGGGGCAGGTCCAATCCCCCTATGAGCCAAGGGGGCACGAGGATGCAGGCGGTGGCCCGGGCCACAAAGGACCCAGCGGGGACACGTGCAGGACCAAACCTCCCCAGCCTCCAGCACGGCTCAGGAGCCCATGACTGTGAGTATCTGGTCCTCCTAACAACAGCAGGAGGATCACTCTTTCCTGCAGAGATCCATCTTCCTGCCTATCCGTGACCTCCTCTGGCTCCATCCCTCTGCTCTGTCTGCTCGTTGTCAGTCTCTGCAATACCTGCTAGGATCTGTTTGTGGTGGGTGATGCACCTGATGTCCCAGAATCTTGCTTGCTGTGGGCTCCCACAACTGAATTCCAGGTCAGTCGACTTCCAGGTGTGTTGGTTAGTCCAGAGGGATGAGCAGGGGATGCAGGC